TGTGTTTTGCGTGTAATAGACTTCAATGGACCCACACCAAAAATGCAAGTGGTGCGTTTTTTGCGGGGGTTTTTTTGCTAATAGAAAAGTATAACAGTTCTGTTCATGTAGTGCTACCTTACACTCTTCGGCACTCAAGTAGCATCAAAGTAGTGCAGGAACCTTTCTGTGACCAAAGACGCATGTTAGAGTTACGGTTAATGACTAGGGTTAGAGACAGAGTTAGGATTAGAGTTAGGGTTAGTGGTAATTGTTTGGGTTGAAATGCTAACAATTATCACTAACCCTAGACCTAATGATTACTGCTAACCCTAACTCTAAGCCTAGCCCTAATGATAACTGCTAACCCTAACAATTACCACCAACCCTAATGATTACTGCTAACCCTAACCCCTAATGATTACTGCTAACCCTAACTCTAACCCTAGCCCTAATGATTACTGCCTAACCCCTAGCCCTTAATGATTACTGCTAACCCTAACTCTCTAACCCTAGCCCCTAATGATTACTGCTGCTAACCCTAAGCCCTTGTCCTAATGATTCTAACCCTACCCTAGACCCTAATGATTACTGCTAACCCTAACCCTTAGACCTAATGATTACTGCTAACCCTAAGCCTAGCCCTAATGATTACTGCTAACCCGAACTTTAATCCTAGCCCTAAACCCAAAACCTAGCTCTTAACCTTTAGTCACATAAAGGTTCCTGCACTACTTCCATGCAACTTTGATGCTACTTGAGTGTAAAGTCAGATCAAAGTCACACTATATGAACAGAACTGTTATACTTTTCTATTAAAAAAAAAAAAAAAGCAAAACGTGGCAAAAGTACATGTTCAAAAACGCAAAATGCACCACCACAAAAGCTGGAAAAATGCATCAACTGCAATCTACATAATAGATATGAACCTAACCTAAATGTCCATTCATTTTCTAAATCCTAGCACTATTGTACTATCAGACAAAACATTCAGATCATTACCTTGATTGATATAGACAGCAACAGCCTGAATTTTGGAAGCCTGCGATCAATAAAACCCATTGGAATCAATATACAACATTATTCATCGTTGGCTTGTACTGAGACTCAGTGCTGTGTGTAGAGCAGATACCCCTTCATCCATGAAGTCAGTTAATTACAAGCACTGGGCTTCTGGCTTCATTTCCTCCTGAATGTAATTCTCTGGAAATAGCCACAGATGGTGCTTGGAAGACAGTGGAAATTTCCAGTCCATGTATACGAAGCATTCATCCTCACATGGCCTCCTCTCTCTAGGAAGACTCCTCTGTAGCACTAATAAATCCTCCTTTGCTGTACAGAATACGGAATTTATCAGCCACCTCTAGACAATTCAGATCGCAGGCACAAGGTGATCAGTGTGAATACAAAATTAAACATCAGTATTTTTGATGGTTGACAATTAAGCACACGTTCCCTGGCTCTGAATGCTGAATTTAAACATATGAAATGCATATAATATAGAAACATAGAAAAGTGACGGCAGAAAAAGACCAAATAGTCCATTGAGACTGCCCTTTCTTTAACAATTTATATAGGGTTGTGTTGTTTTTTTTTTTTTGTTAACTTTTTTGTCTGAGTTTAAATCTATGTTTGTTCTAAGCATGTTTGAATCCACAAACTGTTGACTGTTTCACTACGTCTGCTGGAAGTCCATTCCAACCATCAACTAATCATTTCGTAAATGAATACGATCTTAGATTAGTTTTGAACTTTCCTCCTGCTAGTTTGAAGTTTTGTCCCCGTATTATTGATCTTGGCTTCTTATTGGAAATACTGTCCTCTTGGACCTTATTCACCCCCTATATATAACAGAGTCTGTATTTCTGTCCATTCAATTCTGGGATTTACACATCTCTGCCAAACAGCACAGCCAGCCTGGAGTCCTGGAGTTTTCAATAGTACTAGTACGTAATACAATGGGGTCTTGTCCCTGCCCCCTACCAGGACTCATTTAAATTTAAGGGATGGTAAAAAAGGGGGTTTACTGCTCTTCAACTTCCCATTTTAAAATAATATGGCAGCCAGAGTTGTACTTATGCTGTAGCAAAATTCTACCCCCTGTCAAATTTAACGGGTTTGGGGTACCACTACTAAATGCAACCCATTCAACTGAATGGGGATGTGCGGTTGCACCACACTATTCCTACTCAAAAAGAAAGCAAGCATTCAGAAGACAGCAGTATCCCCTCCTGAATGCCTATCTGCCCCTCCTGTACCGCTCTCTGAAAAGCAATGAATCACAAAATGCTTTTCAGAGACTGTTACAAGACTAAATGAGCCCTAAGCAGATGCATGCGGTCACCTGTCGGCTCTTTCCATTTATCAGCATTTTAGCACATGAGTACTTCAGCACAAGTTGCTTCTCCTCTCCCAGTCTGAGCTCTGCTGTTTAAGGGACCTCCCATTTAATGGCACCTGCACCAACAACATGAAACTAGTGACCTTTCTAGTGGTCTATAAGGTTGGCTTTCTGACCCCCACTGAGTGTACACAGACCTGTCATCTGCTTGCTCAGCAGGGATCAGCATAGAGAACCCCCAATGAGCAAACAGATCCACTGGCGGGTCCGTCCCATCTGAACAGGGCCTAAGGGGGGCATTGTTCTCCCAATGTAATAGGTTTCCCCTAGACCTGAAAAAAGGAAAAGCTGGTTTCTCAAACCTAACTGGTGGGACTGCTGGGTGTTAATTACATAGCAATGTAAGTATGAGAAATGCCATGTTGTGCAGGTTTAAAGGACCATTCCCTGTTACGTGGTTAATATAGAATTTGGGGATTACATACAGAGTGCAGTGATCTGGAACAGATTTTACATTCAGGAGGACTCATGTGATGAAGGGTCATAGCAGAGATTACTAGGAATACAATATATATTATAAGACAGGATTTCTGTAAAGCCAACAATGCTTTACAATGTGAGGGCAGACAGTACAGTGACATTACGATTCAATGCAGGAGGGATCAGAGGGCCCTGCTATTTGATATAGTATACATGCTTCTATGGTTCTCTCTGTCTTGTTGCAGATGGGTAGACTTTCAGGCTAGGTTCACACCTATGCAGGTTGCATTTGATCCGTTTCTGCATTACGTTTTGCATTTTTGCACCTGCATTTTTTATGTGTTTTTTTTTTTTCATTTTTTTCATTTTCTTGTTGCTAGGCAGATTTAATACATAAAACGCATAAAAAATGCAGCAAAAACGCAATACTTGCTTTTCTGCAGCATTTCCATTGAAGTCTATAAAACCAAAAATGCTTTCAAAAACGTCCCTGACCGTTTCTAAAAAATACACCGGGTGAAAACACGTAGATTTGAACCTGTCCCATAGGAAATCATGTTAAATGGACTGTACTGTGTTTCCGCAAAACGCTGCAGAAAATGCTTAGGTGTGAACCGAGGGTCATGTAGTGTCATATATAAGATCATCCATTACAATAATCAGTCCCATCCAGTCATGAATGTTAATGGTGAAGCTGAACTTTTCCATCTTTGTTGAACAGGTTTAAGTCTTCTTGGCACAATCATGAAGTTATTGGACCTTCTTTCTGCTGAACCCTTTCTATCTGTGACACTGATTCTGCAGGAAATGCCATGACACCTGGTAGTTTCAGCCGCACTTACAATCTTGGTGACAGTGCCATAAATACCCCATACTAAAGATAATTCCAGCAATAGATCTCAGCTATTCCCATTCTCAATCAAGACGAAGAATCAGCTCAGTGAAAGGGTCACCCCCTTCTTGCTGGGCAATGGGAACGGTCTCAGGAATATTTGTGATGGTGGGAGATGTCTGCAGTGGACAGTAGACTGTCATGAGATGAATAAGTGGACTGCCCTTGCTGGCCTTCTTCTGAAAATGCAAGTAATAAAATAAATAAATATTTATCGTTACTGTATAGAGGGGTGACAACTTAAAGTGTTCTTAAACCCACAACAGTACAATCAGTCTGTATATGCAATAAAACATGCTTGTTATACTCACTGTGGAACCTAAGGGGTTAATCCTTTGCATTGTGTAAAAAGGCTGTTTGATCCTGACTTCTCTGACCCTCCTCTTTTTATACTGTCCCCAATCCATATGCTGATAGAACAGAGTCCTTGCGGGAAGGCTGCACATGCTTAGTTTGGTGTGTATTGCTAGAGAGGTTTTTTTTTTTTGGGAAGGTGCATGTGATCAGCACAGGGCCAATCAAGGCTGTCCAGACAGAGGGTCAGGGGTCATGCAGCCTCATAGGAAAATCAGGGGAGAATGAAAACTCCTCCTACAAGCTTTATGCAGTGCTCTGCTGGACACTGATAGAAGTCACAAGACTGCTCTAACTGCTGATGAGAAAAGGTATTTAGCAGTTTATATTTACTAAAATAAATGCATTTCCATGTTTTGTGTATTGTGGGAGGATCAGGGGTCATGCAGCCTCATAGGAAAATCAGGGGAGAATGTAAACTCCTCCTACAAGCTTTATCCAGTGCTCTGCTGGACACTGATATAAGTCACATGACTGCTCTAACTGCTGATAAGAAAATGTATTTAGCAGTTTATATTTACTAAAATAAATGCATTTCCATGTTTTGTGTATTGTGGGAGAACAGATATAGTGAATGCGGGGTCCTGGGTTTAGAAGCACTTTAAGCTGTACTCGCTGGTTAAAGAGAACCTGTCAGGATGCCTATATGACACAGAAGTGTCTTAAAACGACACTTTAGATGAGCATGTATGGGCAAGTTGACTGCAGAATTAGAGGTTCATAGTTATGGCCAAATTTGACATATGGGAATGTTTGACACTTGGTCAGCATAACAGAAGTGGCCATGCAAGATCTGCACATATGTCTGCATCATCCATTCCAGTCATTTACTAGCAGTGTGTGGTTATCTGATGTGCCCCATGGCAATTATAGCCTTTGTAGATGTGAACCAGGCAATCTCCCCCCTCCCTTTGGAAACCCCTATAAACCACTGGCTGTATGTCTGCAGCTTACCAGCATCTGAGTGCACCATCCTGGCTGTGCTCCAGGCTCTGCTCCCGGTGACAGGTGACATCCCTCTCTGTCTCATCAGAAGGATGCTGAAGCCTTTCAGTAGTCTAGCCATGAAGCAGAATCCCAGCAAAGCTGCGATCAATGGAATGACAGGCGGTGTGTGCTGCAGGATCAGATGTGTGTCTGCTGCTGAACACAGCTCTCCCTGATGGCACTCCCTCCTGTGATGTCATCCCTACAATGGGCCAGTATGTGGGCTAAAGGGCAAACAGGATCCCCTGTCCACATTCTTCCGCTATCTGTCAGTGTCTGGTCTGAACATACTCTAGTGCAGATTACAACATTGGCCTGAGAGGGACATATTACTTGTTATTATTATTACTATCAATATTATCAGTATTATTATTCCAATCATTGCAATATTTAAGATGAGAATAAATTGCAGCACAAAGGCCACATTCACACTTTAGCGTTCTTTGAATGCATACGATTTTGCATGTGTTTACAAAATGCTCCAAAAACACCGGTCACACTTGCATTGCCATTAATAGCACCCCTAACTCGGCAAAAAAAAAAAAAAGACGCATGTTTGTTACGTTTGTTGCTCGTAGGGCAGCCCATTGAAAGCAAAAATCAAAAACGCACACCAGCAACAGCACCCACAAATGCACAAAAATGTGGAGCACGCTGAAAGAAACACAAAATGTAAAAGCAGCCAAAGCGTACACCCTGTCATGCCCCCAGATTGGTATACAAGATTTTTATAGTGACAATAGGTTGCGCAGCATTTTACAAATGTAATGTTGCTTGAATCACGCCATTCGTAAAGCGTATAGGAGCTTCTTTTGAGTCGCACAGTTTGGCCCCAACAGAGTTCAATGGAAACACCTTGGAAATGTGCATTTGTTCACATTTCTTGCCTTTTCATTGGCTAAAACTAATTTTTAAGAATGATCGTCTTCAAGCGGTAGTAAACCGCAGGAAACAAAAAAAAAAAAACTCACCGGCCAGGTAATGTCATAATATCCTTGCATGCATTGCGTACTAGCACATTATGTAAAGCTTGCCATAACCACTTGCCTACCTCCCTAAAGCAGATATACCTATAGTAAATCACGTAAATATACGTAATTTTCGCATTTCCGGGTAGGGGGCATGCACACATGCGCCCCCTACACATGCTGCCATTGGTTGCAATGGATGTCAATCACCGGGTCCCGGCCGGCACTTCTCAGCCTGCACTCAGTAATCGCTGCTGAAGCTGAGAGTGGAGAAATATTAATAATTATTATTATACAGGATTTTATATAGCGCCAACAGTTTGCTCAGCGCTTTACAATATAATGGGAGACAATACAGCAACAATACAGTTCAATACAAGAGGGTTAGGAGGGCCCTGCTCCTTGGAGCTTACAATCTAAGAGGGAGGGGCTAGTGGTACAAAAGGTAATAACTGTGGGGGATGGACTGGTTGGAAGAGTAGAAGATTCCAGTATTAGCCGAGGGCAGGATAGGCTTCCCTGAAGAGATAGGTTTTCAGAGATCGCCTAAAAAGTGAGCAGAGTAGGCGATAGTCTGATAATTTGGGGTAGAGAGTTCCAGAGGATGGGGGAAGCTCTGGAGAAATCCTGGAGATGAGCATGGGAGGAGGAGACAAGGGAGATAGAGAGTAGGAGGTCATGCAAGGAGCGGAGAGTACGGTTTGGGTGATATTTGGAGACAAGATCGGTGATGTAATTTGGGGCAGAGTTATAAATGGCTTTATATGTTATTGTTAATGTTTTGAATTTTATCCGTTGGGCAACGGGAAGCCATTGGAGGGATTGGCTGAAGTTTAATCTGTTTCTATTTTGTCTATGCTGGTTTCTTTTTTCTCCCCTCATCAACAGGCTAATGAAATTATGAAATAAAACCTATTTTTTATTTTATACCTTATTTTAAACCCAGTGATATCATCACTGAGTCTCTGTGCTTCTCTATGCAAAGCAGACAGATCGTGGCTGGTGGGGGGGGGGTGTACATAGGTTCCTGAAAATAGGATGTTTGTGGTAACGTACACACATAACGCTAAGCCTCAATGAACTGAAATCCAGTGACTAAAAGGCATGGCCAGCAACTATCAGGCTGGGGAGGAGAGAAATAGATGAGAATGGATGTCCTTCAGCAGGAAATAAGGCAGGCTCTTTCTGATTTGCTATAGATTCTAATGCACACAGTGAGAAGCTTGCAGTGTGCAGTTAAAGCAAACTAAGCCATTTCATTACAGGAGAGGAGCCGGCACAACTGTACAAGACTGAAGGGGAGGACTGAGACCAGCCTTAAGGTCAAAGTCACTCCTATTGAACCCCTTAGTAACTTGGCTGACACTATGTTTGCAACAATTTTTACTGTTGATGTGTAAACTTTTTTTTCTTTTTTTTTTTTTCATTTTGCAGATTTGCCGTACACAAAATTATATAAAATGGTTTTGACATGCTTTGTAGCAAAAACAAACATTTGGTAGCCTCATTATACAGATATGTGGCTATTTGCACAAGTTGAGGGCGGGGGAAGGGAGCCTGGGCAGAGTGTACTATTGGAAGGCATGATATATCTACTTGTCCATTGTTGGCCATATAAGTCAGACCTAATATACTGTATAAGGAATTATTGGTCAAATATAGGGAGGATAAATAGTAATAATAATAATTTTAATGTTCCCAACTGTCCTGGATCTGAATCCCTCTGTCCCAGTCCAGATGTGTTCCAGATGTGCTTCTGCATGCACATTTTTGACATATTTTTGATGTGTTCCGGTGTACTCTTTGCCTACACAGTTTGGCTGCTTTTGATGTGTTCTGTGCAGTTTTGATGCATTCCAGTGCATGGTGAACCCAGAAGGAAGACTGGGTGAAGATGGACCACAGCGGTGACAGCACATCATTGGAGGGCTTCATTGTAACCACTTGCCTTCCAGAAGATTTACCCCCCCTTCCTGACCAGGCCATTTTTTGTGATACGGCGCTGTTACTTTGACAATTACGCGGTCATGCAAGCTGTACATAAGTGAAATTTATGTCATTATTTTCCAACAATAGAGCTTTCTTTCAGTGGTATTTGATCATCTCTATTATTTTTGTGTATTATTTTTGTGCTATATTGTAACATGTTCTGTCCCCCTTTGTAAACAGCGCTGTGTTGCGCGCTTTTATAATACAACCAAGCGCTGTGTGAAAAATAAAATAATAATAATAATAATAAAACAATAATTTTTTATTTTTTTTGCTATAAAACATATCCAATAATAAAATTAAAAAAAATTTAATTTCTTCATAAATTTAGGCCAAAATGTATTTGCCCAAAAAAAAATCCCAATACGTGTAAATTACAGTTGCAAGAAAAAGTATGTGAACCCCTTGGGATTACGTGGAGTTTTGCATGAATTGGAGTGGCCCAGTCAGAGTCCTGACCTCAACCCGATTGAAATGCTGTGGCATGACCTTAAGAGAGCGATTCACACCAGACATCCCAAGAATATTGCTACACTGAAACAGTTTTGTGAAGAGGAGTGGTCCAAAATGACTCCAGATCGTTGTGCAGGTCTGATCTGCAACTACAGGAAACGTTTGGTTGAGGTTATTGCTGCCAAAGGAGGGTCAACCAGTTATTAAGTCCAAAGGTCACATACTTTTTCCTCCCTGCACTGTGAATGTTTACATGTTATGTGCAATTAAACCATGGCAACATCTAATGTTTGTGTAGTATTATGTTCAGCAGACTGTGTTCTTCTATTGTTGTGACTTAGATAACGTTCAGAGCTCATTTTATGCCCAATTCATGCAAAACTCCACGTAATCCCAAGGGGTTCACATACTTTTTCTTGCAACTGTATACTGGGATTTGTATTTATTTTTTTGTACTAGTAATGGCGGCGATCAGCGACTTATAGATGGACTGCGGTGGGCATTCTGACACTGGGGGGAACTAACTCCCGGTATAATAATAATAATAATGTGTATAGGAGGAGAGAGCTGATGACATTTGTGTTGCTGCTCCTTCATTGTCCAATCAGAATGCTGTGGGGTGAGCGATGATACTACTATATCCCTTATATTCTATCATTTGATCATAGTGAATTGTAGACAAATACATTCATCCTGCCCCCAGCACTGGAAGATGACTCATTTACAGCAAAAAGAAAAGAGTAGTAAAGGAAGGCCAAGGGTTGCTTTGTCTTTATCTCAGGCATTAGCAGCAGCCAGAGGTGTACTGTGTCCACTGTTACTCAACCAAAGACAACATGGCAGTTTATAACTCACTGGTTAACTGAATCAGATTGCAAGCTTGCAGGATCTCCAGGGTCACCTTATGTGTAGACATGAATATGTGTGACATGTGGATCTGAAACAAAGTATTACCGCTTTATAAGAATTATACCGGAGTATATGTTGTAAAAAAAACAAGTGTGCTGCTTACAAACAAGTGTAAATGATCCTAAAATATAACACACTGAACAATGTTTTCAGCAGAAGATACATGAATATAATAAAGTGAACTACAGTGTACATATTGTCAGCACACCTCCACTACATCCACTAGGTGGCACTGTAACACCTACCATATGGAATTTTGGGAATATTCCTGCAGATTAAATGTTTAAAGGGCAACTCCACTTTCATGGGGAAATAATTAGAAAATTAAAAATAAAAATAAAATGGCATAAGCAATTGCGACACAAGCCATACTGTATTTGACTGTTAACTAATACTGTTATTAACAACGACTTTTCCTTTTCAATTTGCAGCCCCTGTAATTTTCTGTAAAATGCCATGCAATATGGAAACTTGGAGGCATTCTGCACATGGTGTACAGAACGGCTCCTGGAAATGTCATTTCCTGCTTGTGTGATTGGCTTACTGGTTTTTCCAGAAGTCTGCACTAAGATACAAGAAGTCAGATTTTGGGCATCCTCTGCAACAAAATGTCATTTTTTTTCTGAGATACTCCCAAGGGAATTCATTTCTAGGTTCCATGCACACTACCGTGGTTTTTAAGCTCCATATTTGTTTCTGCTACTAGAAGCTAAATAGTGCTATCCTATGTGACCATACACACTACTTTAGGCTATTAGCATTTTTTGAGTTTCAGTGTCTAGGAGCAGAAAAAAAAATGTTTGTAGAGGTTTTTTGGAGCATTTTTCCAGCAAAAAAAAATGCTAAACGCTACTAAAATGCTCCTAACAGTTTTTTTTCTAGCTTTATTTCCCCTTTACATGTACTGAAAACGCTATTAAAAACACTATTACCAGCGTTTTTTTGAGCTTAAAAAAAGTGCTAGTGTGCATAGAGTCCTAAAGGGATGCAGACTTTACCACTTTCCTCATTAGAACCCTGATAATGATACATCACTCCCATCCACATTCATTTTGCACATGGAGACAAACAAAGAGCTATTTCTTCAGAATAACAAATGGTAGGAATCTGCAACGTTTGTTTAAAATCCCTGCAATGTACATAGAATGTACATAGATCACCCGGAGGGGAATGTTTTTTCACAATAATATTGGAGTTACTCTTTAACCACTTCATGTCCAGACACTTTTACCCCCTTCCTGTCCAGGCCAATTTTCAGCTTTCAGCGCTATCACACTTTGAATGACAATTGTGTGGTCATGCAACGCTGTACACATATGATTTTTTTAGCATTTTTTTTGAGACAGATAAAATTTTATTTTGGTGGTATTTATTCACCACTGGGATTTTTTTTTTTTTTTTTTGCTATAAATGAAAAAGTCCAAACATTTTGAAAAAAAGTGTTTTTCTTATAGAGTCTTGCAAATAAATAATCATTCTTCATAAATCTTGGCCAAAATTTATTCAGTTATCTTTTTAGTAAAAAAAAAAAAAATAACCCAAATTAGTTTATAACCAAAAATTATAATTTTTCCCAAAATTTTTTTTTACATTTTTATTTTTTTTTATATTATTAATTATGTTTTTTTTAACATACTGTCACCCTAGCAGTAACAGTGTCACCATAGTGACACTGTACTACTTGTGGGGGGTGATGAAGATTTTTTTTTTTTTTTTTTTTTACACTGATTGCTTTTACACCCATAAAGGCTGTAAAATCAATCATTTCTCCTTCTCTCTGGCTGCATTCTTGCAGCCATTGAGAACTACTGTGTGAGATGTGATTGGTCACAGCTTGTCACATGGTACAAGGCTGTTGCGAATAGCCTTGTACCATGTGACCTCTGTGACCATTCACAGATTTCACACGTAGTAAGCAATGATGTCAGAAGTGACATCATTGCTTACTACTCTTTCATGTGATCACTGATTGGCCAATCAGTGATCACATGATCAGGACCTCACACAGAGGTCCTGTACAGAGATCGGTGTTCTGGACACAGCGGGCACTGGATCATAGTGCCGTGCGCTCCCAGGGAGCATGCACAGGCAGTGAATGCGGGGGGCCGTTTGTAAACAGCCACCTGCTTCGGCACTGCTCCCTTCCAGCCATTTATGTACTTGGGCCGGACGGGAAGTGGTCAATCAAAGCATATCAATAGCCCAAATTAAAGCTGAACTCCAGCCTAAGGCTTCGTTCACACCAATGTGTTTTTTTAGTGCTTTTTGCAAAAACGCACTACAGTCCTCCGGACACAGCGGGCATTGGATCGTGGTGCCGCGCGCTCCCAGGTAGCGCACATTGTCCAAAATGCTGGGCACCGTTTATGAACGGCAACCCGCTCCTGCACTGCCCCGTCTGGCCAGTTATATACATGAGCCGGACGGGAAGTGGTTAAGATTTAATCGATTTCTGCAAGCGATGTAGGTTATTATTAAAGTGGTGGTAAATACTGAAAAATCTTTTTTTTTTTCAGACCCCCCTGCAAGGTAATATCATGATATTCTAGTAAGCATCCCCTACTAGCACATTATACAGACTTGCCTTAAAACTAAGCTCTCCAGCTATGCACTGTGACTGCTGACAGAGCTTCCATCTTCACCTGATCTTCCTTCCAGCTTCTCAGGCTCTGGCCATTGGAATGGCCAAGCTGCGATGACATCATTCCCGCACATGCGCACAGGAGTTACAACTGCGGCACACAGCTCTGAAGGGACGGCATAATCATATGTCGGTCATATCACTGACTGCTGCTCACAGGAATATCTCCTAAATGGGGCATGTTTTGGAGATAATCATTTTACCTGCAGGTAAGCTTTATTATAAGCTCACCTATAGGTAAAAGTAGCAGAAACAAGTTTACTACCACACCTTAATATAAAATACATGGAGAATCCAACAGAGAGGGCGGGATCCTCCAAATACCCACAACTAAAAGAAACCTGTTCTGGGGGAATAACATGAGGGGCCAATGCTGACCTCTGCCTCTGTGCTAGCTGCCTGGTTGTTTTCCAGGACAAGTGTGCCAATCAAGGGCGGACTGACCATTGGGAAACTCGGGCACTGCCCAAGGGCCTGGGGTCAGTAGGGGGTCCCATGAGATGCCCCTGGTACCTTTTTCATAGGCTTTTTTGAGTTTGGGCAAGGACACAGGGGCCCCATGATCCCCTATTGCCCAGGGGCCCCATGAGTTGTCAGTCCGCCCCTGATGCCAATCGAGAGATCTGACTTTAATGGCTGCATCTGTTTTCTGGGACATTTCCTCTGAAACTAATGAAGCCAGAGACAGCCAGGAAATTGGCATTTCAGAAAGAGGTCAGCAATTGCAGCCTATATATTTCTTTCAGTACAGATTTCCTTTAGGCCCCATGCACACTGTTTATCCCTGGTGCTTGAAGCTCCAGTGTTTAGGTGCAGGCGGAGGGCACAGGCGCACCATCCAGTCCCACTGCCTGCAGACTGTCATACTCTATGGGAGGCTGACAGCTGCTGCCTCTAGACCAGGCTGGATGGTGCACCTAGTGGTATTAATGCTTTAGGACAGTATGTGCCAAGGGATGAAAGCTCAGTATGTAACCAATCTGCCTTTCCAAGCATTCATGCCTGTGTGCATATGGCCTAAGACGTTAGTACGCTAGGCTGGGGCGGACTGACCATTTGGAAACTCGGGCATTGCCCGAGGGCCCGGGGTCAGTAGGGGCCCCATGAGATGCCCCTGGTACCTTTTTCATAGGCTTTTTTGAGTTTGGGCAAGGACACAGGGGCCCCATGAGTTGTCAATCTGCCCCTGACGCTAATTATACCATTCAGCAGCTGTCAGCCTTTCAGTGGGGCTGGTAGTGCGCCTGTGCCCTCCACACACACACACCTTAATACTGGAACCTCATGCACTGAATCTAAACACTCAGTATGCATGGGGCCTTAAAGTACATGCAAACACAAGCAAGATTACATTAATTCTGCTAAAGCACCGTTTCTCATGAACATTTCTTTCATAAAATACCACCTTCATCTTTTTCACATCTGAGAGTTGCTGGTTTCCTCCAGTCTCTCTCAGCCACTTCCTCTCCAAATGCACTCACTCCAGTGTTGGCTACATATTACTGGTCTGGACCAGATTCATTGTGGGAATATCCCAGTGGGGACATCCTCTGACATCATCACGCCACGTACTGTGGCCATTTTGTCGGTTGGAAACAATAACAAACCCATATGCTCTTTCTACTGTTTGTCTGTAAGTGCATTACTTCTATTAAACATTGAGTTACCATAATACTATGCAATGAGCAGCTTTTATTTCTCTTTTTCATGCAACTTAACATCCTGAATCTGTTTCTGGAATTATAACACTTGAGTTATAAACCTTGGAGTTGCTTTTTGGAGGAGAAGCCTTATGGTCTTACATTTCCATCACCATTCTGTGGCTATTATTTTGGAGTATAACTTCTGTGGTGTGAGCTGTGGAGGTACCTCTAGGAGGAGAAGATATATGATCCTATCTTCCCATTGACTGTCTGCAAATGCTGTGTAAGACCACATGACCTGCGGTCTTATCCTCTGGTAAGAGGCTGTGTATGGTGTTGCCCACTTTTGGGCAATTCATCACCCTTTTTATGGAAGATTGAGCCACAATTTAAGGACTTTTTTTATTTAATGGTCTGATATTTATAATTGTGGGAGAACAACCGTTACATTTTGTTTTATATTTTATTTTACCATTGTCGCCGTCAATTTTATGTTAGCTGCTATATAATTTTTTTCTCCACAAAGACATTTAGCGCAGATATATTTCATGTGAGAACATGCCTGTTCTATGTGTGTTGGCAAAGCCACTAGTCTCCATTATGGCATAGTATGATAAAATGACATTGCGGGAGTACAGCTGGTAGACAGTTGTCACAAGATAACAGAAAGTGCCTGAACAAGGGCCTTTGTGGTAGGATCGCCTTGAAGTACTATTTTTATTTCTAGGCAAACAGTTAAATAAACAGATAAAAAAACCACACACACACACATATATATATTGCTCAAAAAAAATAAAAGGAACACTTTTTAATCAGAGTATAGCATCAAGTCAATTGAACTCCCGGGATATTGATCTGGTAGCAGAGGGGGTTGTTAATCAATTTCAACTGCTTTGATGTTAATGAAATTAACAACAGGTACACTAGATGGGCAACAATGAGACAAGACCCCAATACAGGAATGGTTTTACAGGTGGAGGCCACTGACATTATTTTCCCTGCTCATCTTTTCTGACTGTTTTTCACTAGTTTTTGCATTTGGCTGGGGTCACTGTTACCGCTGATTACCTGGACCCTACAGAGGTTGCACAGGCAATCTAACTCCTCCAGGATGGCACATCAATACGTGCCATTGCCAGAAGGTTTGCTGTCTCTCCCAGCACAGTCTCAAGAGCATGGAGGAGATTCCAGGAGACAGGCAGTTACTCTAGGAGAGCTGGACAGGGCCGTAGAAGGTCCTTAACCCATCAGCAGGACTGGTATCTGCTCCTTTGTGCAAGGAGGAACAGGATGAGCTATGCTAGAGCCCTACAAAATGACCTCCAGCAGGCCACTGGTGTGAATGTCTCTGACCAAACAATAGGAAACAGACTTCATGAGGGTGGCCTGAGGGCCCGACGTCCTCTCTAGTGGACCCTGTGCTCACTGCTCGGCACCATAGAGCTCGATTGGCATTTGCCACTGAACACCAGAATTGGCAGGTCCGCCACTGGTGCCCTGTGCTTTTCACAGGTGAGAGCAGGTTCACCCTGAGCACATGTGACAGACGTGAAAGGGTCTGGAGAAGCCGTGGAGAACATTATGCTGCCTGTAACATCGTTCAGCATGACCGTTTTGGTGGTGGGTCAGTGATGGTCTGGGAAGGCATATCCATGGAGGGATGCACAGACCTCTACAGGCTAGACAATGGCACCCTGACTGCCATTAGGTATCAGGATGAAATCCTTGGACCCATTGTTAGACCCTACGCTGGTGCAGCGGGTCCTGGGTTCCTCCTGGTGCACGACAATGCCCAGCCTCATGTGGCGAGAGTATGCAGGCAGTTCCTGGAGGATGAAGGAATTGATACCATTGAATGGCTCCCACGCTCGCCTGACCGAAACCCAATAGAACACCTCTGGGATATCATGTTTCAGTCCATTTGACGCCACCAGGTTGCACCTCAGACTGCCCAGGAGCTCAGTGATGCTCTGATCGAGATACCCCAGGACACCATCCGTCGTCTCATTAGGAGCATACCCCGACATTGCTAGGCATGCATGCAAATACGTGGATGCCATACAAACTACTAAGTACCATTTTGAGTTGCTACAATTACATTTCAGCAAAATGGACTAGCCTGCTGCATAATATTTTCACTTTTATTTTTGGGGTGTCTTTGAATTCAGACCTCTGTAGGTTGATCATTTTCATTTCCAGCAAACTATGGGGCATCCTTACGTTCCTAACACATTACCCAGTCCATATCAGTATAGATATCCAGCAGGATATTTTTCCCCATTGAGATCTGATGTGTTTTCAAAGTATTTAATTTTTTTGAGCTGTGTATGTATACATTTACAACAGATGTCCTATTAAACATCAGAAGTTGAAAAAGAGTGAGAAAGAAAGGAAAAAAAAAAGAAAAAAGAAAAATCCTGAGCATTTAGACGTATAGAATTCTCATATATGCTGATAGCTCTCGGCCTCCACAGTTCTGTGCTTTATCAGGTGGCCTGGTTGATGCATGAGATCCACAATGTAACTCTCTGGAGGAGCTCTTGTCCCTGGTCTCAATGAGTCACTCAGCAACTTGACTTCATTCCAAGCACGACCGTAGTCACCACGTTCCAGAGTACAAGCAATGCCAATTCTGTCTGCTACAGCCTAGAAAACATGAACATTATAGAGTACAAGCAATGATAACGCTGTCCATTGCAGCCTAGGAAACACATGCATTATAGCCTTGCAACACTTTGACATTTACTGTGTGGCCCTCAGGGGCCCCTGAAGATAGGAGTCTGTGTTTCCCTTGCCTCAGTGTAGCGGTGTCCCTAGGGTTGGTTTCACCCGGTGCGGTAACACTTGGTGACACCCCCTCCGATGATCCCCGCAGGATGGGTCAGATCTGTGAATTGAGCATAATAGATCGGAGTCCAATCCATTATCCTCCCCAATCCGCAGATCCGATCCATCCTGCGGGGATCGTCGGCTTGCAACCTAATTGATCTCTCCACCAGCTCCACAAAAAGGTAAGTTTTAAAAGCAAGCCCCTCTCTCTCTCTCCGCCCTCTTTCTCCCCCCCTTTCCCCCCCCCCCCTCCCTCAGCCTTCCCCTCTCTCCCCCCTACTTACTACATGCAGTGCTGTCACCAGGGTCCAGGGATTACACTGACCTGCTGCATACTCTGCCTGCCCCTCCAGCTCTCTGACTTCAGCACCCGTGGCAGGGACGTGGACCCGCCCCTCTGCTGAAACTCCGAGGAGGAGAGGTGTCCGAAGTGCCTGCCTCACTGTCCGTCCCCTCAATGCCTGCTTATTTCAGAAGCGGCACATACAAGGACAGACTGAGCCTCTCATGGGGCCCTGTAGTGACCCCGGGCCCTCAGGCAGTGCCCAAATGGTCAGTCCACCCCTGGTGAAGCAGGACCAGTGTCACCCCGTGGAAAAAGGTGTAACCCGGCGCGGCACGCACCCCCTGCACCTGCCTAGGGATGCCCCTGCCTCAGTGCTTACTTTGGTCAGTGAAGGAAAGTTTTCCTTAGACTAAATTTACACTATCTTACTATTTTTGTGTTATCCATCCATTTTCTCTCTTAGGCCCCTTTCACACGGGGTGGAATCTGCTTTGGGCAGAACAGAGGGGGCGGGATGATAGGTCTATGTCTGTTTTGTTTATGCAGAGCGGACACGGAACAAGCCTGTTCTGCTCTATGGGTGGTAAATGCTAGATCCCCTTCTGAGTGGAGGTAGGTGGGTGTAAATGGAAACAAGTTTCTTTATGCCCCCTGGCCTATAGGAATACATGGATCAGATCAGGTCTGCCTGAAAAACTGACAGGCAGACCTGACTGGATCATCCGTGTGAAAGGGGCCTTAAGGTTTTTCCATTGATTTTTAAACGGATTTTGCTGATAAAAATAGCAAATGTGGTAAAAGTAAATTTAAAGGGAGCTAGCTGTAGGGAGCACAAATGCCAAAGGAATGATTTGTAAAGGAGCTGTGACCTCTAGCAGTCTCATGTAATGTTTCTTCAGTCTATGACGGTCTACTGACACCTGTTTCAAATCTTCAACAACTCTAGCATGTCTGCAGTCTCTGACCATCTCTTGTAGCATGTCCGTGGTCTTTGACAATCTCCGGTTGCTCGCTGCATTCTCTGATGGGCTTCTGTATCTTCCCATTCAGTTTCCAATGATACAGAGAGGGGAGCTGATGTGATGATACCAGCACAAAGCTCAACATCTATATACTATTAAGTGCTGTAGTGATATCCACAAAGAGGGAGTTTACATGACACCCTGCAATCACCGGAAGTGGGTTAAATGATGCAGAGCATCCTTTAAAATAGAACACTGGTGACATCAGGTGGCAGAACAAAAATGATTGCAGTGGACAATGCTGAAGAGGAGGTGAGCATGGCAGACAAATCTCTTTTTTCTAATGCTTGGTTTAATGTTTTTCAAGTGGACCGATCGAACGCTCTATTCCACTCTATGGAGCTGCAGATGTAAGCAGACATGCATCCGATCCAATCCTGTCCGCTAAAAACAGATGAATGGCGGATCGGATGACAGTCAGATGGAAATGGACAGGTGGTCTGTTTCCATCCGACAAGCCATAGAGGGCAGCAGCTATGTCCGTGTCCGCTCTTCATAAGCGGAGCGGATATGGACCTGTCATCTGCTTGCTCAGAGGGGATCAATGAGCAGATACCAGGCTGGGCAAGCGGATCCACTGACGGGTCTGCCCTGTGTGTTAGGGGCCTTAGGCTTTTTACTACTTTTTTGCATCTCAGTGCTCGAGATGTCATCCAGCCTCTTTCAGACACTTTGGGGGAGATTTACTAAAACTGGAGCACTCAGAATCAGGTGCAGCTGTGCATGGCAGCTTCTAACTCCAACTGGTTCAATTAAGCTTTGACAATAAAATCTGGAAGCTGATTGGTTACTATGCACAGCTGCACCAGATTTTGCACTCTCTAGTTTTAGCAAATCTCCCCCTTCCTGTCTACAGTCAGTCAGTCACTCCAGCATCAGCTGCATATTTTGGACCACTTTCCTGATAGTGAAAAGGGCATGGCTGCTTTTATTCTTTACCAACAAAGTGACAACACAAGAGAACAGATGGGAGCCACGTATCACCCTACAACTGAAAGCACCTACAAGACAGGATCACCTGGTATATATATTAGAAAAGTGTTCGATACACTCGATTGTTCAACTTTTGAAACGTTAGTGGGCTCATTTCGATTAACAAAATACAAAGTTTTATGGCAAAAAAACAACTATCATGTTGGTTGTTTTTAGCCAAAACGATTGGTTTTCTAAACATTGACCGAAAACAGTTTGAACACGCACATGTGCTGTAGATTTTTTCAAATATAACCCCGGAAGTACAAACAATGAAAAGAAAGATATTTGTTTTAAATAAAGTTGGCAAGTAGGAAGGTTCACAAAATGTCAAATGTTTGCATCTTTTCCACAGATCGTCAAAAAATGTATAATTTATGTTGTTAACGATTGATAATATGTCAACAATTGGGGGAAATATTTTGATACAATGATGGTGTTATCGCATGCACATTCAACTGATCTTCATAAATATACCATTTTTTTCAAATGATTTTCTAACCGTGTATGGCCAGCATTATTATTATTATTATTAGAGCTTATATGCGATTTATCTCTACATTAGGAAAGCGAAAAAAGCCCTTTAAAAACCCAAATCTCTCAGAACATACCTTGTAGAGAAGTGCTCGGTGATAGAATATCCCTTTCTTAATCTTTCCGATGGGAATGACATTGCTCTTCAGCTCAAATTTAAGTTCACTGATATGGAGCTCCCAGCTGAATTCTTGCAGTCGATCCTTCTCTATAGCACTGCCCATCTTTTCAGCCACAAACCTGCGTGAAATTCAAGAAGATCCATCATACTACAGATTTTTGTCTCAAATAAAGAAGAAGCTTTTTTTTAACTATAAACAGCCCCTGAATGATTGCTGCAATTATGCTCAGATCATTACATGAATTAAAATGGTAATATATGCTGTCTCAGCTTGACTGTTCAGCTGCATATCATGTAAGATTAAGAAGCTGGCATAAATGCTTCAAATGAAATCAGTTTTAGTCTGAAGTCTGTAGAAAGTAAATATAATGATTATGTACCTGAGAGGAAAAAGAATAATTCTCAGGGTTGATCTAGGAGAATGTTTAGAGTGAAGATGTACTGTACTTTGCACACGCAAGGCAAAGGGACAAGTTCACTTTAATGCCTGAGCAGCTGAACATACTTACACAGCACCTTCCCTTTGCTCCCTCATCACACTTTTCAGGCACTAGTAGCAATAGAGAGCTAAATACAGTATATGTAATCTCCAAATCACATGATCAGGGGCGGACTGACAACTCATGGGGCCCCCAGGCAATAGGGGATCATGGGGCCCGTGTCCTTGCCCACACTCAAAGCACACTCAAAAAAGCCTATAAAAAAAAAAGGTACCAGGGGCCCCCTACTGACCCTGGGCCCTCGGGCAGTGCTCGAATGGTCAGTCCGCCCCTGCACATGATATATGTTCCATAAGCTTTAAAGGGTCAGTCCACTCAGACATAATTTTATACATGTGAGTGGAGCCTGGTAGGCTAAGTGAGGCTATGGTTGCCACCTTATCCCTTTAAATCCGAACCAATATCAATTACACAGGTTTTGTGGCTGATTAACCACTTGTCCTCCAGAGGATTTACCCCCCTTCCTGACCAGGCCATTTTTTGCATTACTTTAACTGACAATTGCGCGGTCATGCAACGCTGCACCCAAATGAAATGTCTGTCCTTTTTTTCCTATGAATTGAGCTTTCTTTTGGTGGTATTTGATCGCCTGTGCGTTTGCGCTATAAGCAAAAAAAGACCGACAATTTTGAGAAAAAAACAATATTTTGGACTTTTTGCTATTAAACATGTCCAGCAAAAAAAAAAAAAAAAAAAAAAAAAGGTAGAGTGAACACCCCTCATAATGGGCACAGCAGGTGAACAGCCCCAGAAACTCCACACACTGATCTCAGCTACAGAGATATAAGAAACTGTAAGGGGCTTTAAAGGATAAGTTCACCTTTGGAAACATGTTACATGTACAACACTTTTAGGGTTGAACATGTAACGTGCTCCCATAGCTGCAGCAGCGCCCGCTGCCCCCTCCCCCTCCCTCTGACAGATAGTACGGGGTGAAGTTTCCCTGTACAATTTGTCAAATTTGAAAACAGCGCAATTTGTGTTACCAAGCAATTGAATTGGTGTACCTAATAAAGAGGCCAGTGAGTGTATATTGTACAGTGATGATGTCTCTGTTACTTTTACAATTAATATATTGGTTTTTAAAGGCATTTGCTGTATACAAAGTGGATTTATATCCTTTGTGGTTATTGAGGAATATACTTGAACTGAAGTTTTTGTCCCTTTAGTGCAGCCTTTAAATAAGAGCATATAGTCATATTGGATGGTTTGGTCTAAATAAACATTTACTTACTGTGCCAGAGCCACCACTTGCTCTCGGATGTGTGGAAGAGGAAGGATTGTTCTGGAAGCCTCTGAGATATAGTCATTTAATTCCTGGTCACATAGTGGGAACCACTGCAGTGTCTCAGGACTGGGATCTGGTGGAGCTTTGACCTGGGGCACCTCATCTTCCTCTTTCATCTTCTCTTCCTCCTTCTTCACTTTGCCCTTTCCTTTGCTGAAAATAATTAAGAGGTTTACAGAGATTTAATATGGAAATTAATAAAGTGAATCTAAATAGGGAAGTGTTACTATGTCAGATTTATTTGATGTGTGTTATTGGAGAAAGTTCCCTTCACTTCTTGTCAGCAACCAACAAATGGGAATGCATTGAACCTATGCATCATACCTAACATGGTCTAAAACATAACTTTTATTAAATGTCTTAAGAAACTGCCAGTGTATGGCCTTACTTATATGGAAGCATGGGTCAAGCACAAACAAATGGCAACCACCCCAATCTATAACTGGCTTTTGCAGCTAGGAGCACATGAAAGGGTGAAGCATGTCAAAAAACAACAAACAAAACTTCCCAGCTCACTTACCAGCCAGCCTGCAACAAACTAAATTACTTAGTTCAGGCATGGGTTTAGTGCAGAAGCACAATACCATAATGCTGGGGTCAGGGGCGGATTGGCAACTCATGGGGCCCCCGGGCAATAGGGGATCATGGGGCCCCTGTGTCCTTGCCCAAATTCACAAAAGCCTATGAAAAAGATACCAGGGGCATCTCATGGGGCCCCCTACTGACCCCGGGCCCTCGGGCAGTGCCCGAGTTTCCAAATGGTCAGTCCGCCCCTGCTGGAGTTTTTATGAAAAAGTACCTCTATCTAAAGGGAGGTTTCAAACATGGACCATATCACCAACCAGCAGATATATGATATATACCGCTGTTGCAAAATAGAGTGATCTGAAAGGGATAAGTGTACAGGTGAAGGTCAGTATATTGAACAAAATCCTATCTACTTACAGGTTTGGATCAGTACCAAAGGTTACTGTGGCTACTGAGGGGCTTGAAGGGGTCTGCCTAATTCCTGGCACACCACAGTACCTGTTCCAGCCTGGTAGCAATACTATAAAAAGTGTGGTGACTAGTACACTGCTTGGGAACCAGTGGATAGGGGAATAGGATCAGGGAAGGGTTAAAAAGACTTTATTGGTAAATAGTTAGGAAATGGTTAAAAACGTTGCAGCGCCACTATGGACCAGTCTTGAGAAACCTAGTGCACATATATATAAAAGCACAGTAAGGGCTCGTTCACACTTGAATTTATTTCTAACTCTTGCCAAACGCCCCTATAGCGTTTGACAGGCTTTAGACAGGCATTTGGGAAGCGTTTTTAATGCTCCCCAAATGCCCTATGCGCGGTTTTGAGGTGGTTGATAGGCGTCTGCCAAGCGTTAAAACCGCATGACAAATGCCTATAATGAAGTTAAATGTTATTACCGCATCGCAAACGGCTCGCAACCATGTCGCAACAGCACCGCAAACGCCTGCCAGGCGCCATAGACTTGAATGGGAGGCTTCAACTCCTCCTGATTCAACACGAGGAATCAGTTTTGCCGCGATGCGACACTAACGTATCAGTGTGAACAGCACTTTGTGCTGCCATGTGCAGAATTTTCATAGGCATTTGAGAAGCGTTAAAAACGCTTCCCAAACGCCTGTCTGACACCTGCTGACAAAGCTAGTGTGAACTGAGCCTAAAAGAGGCACCACCATCCAGGCGTAAGAATTTATGCTTTGATGGTGGCTCCGCCTTTTGCTCTGTTTCCATGGTAGCAATACTGTCCTAGTACAACACTGCATCCACCAGCACACAGGTACCTCCCGTAAGCCTCATCATAGACTGGCTTACCTCAATAAGAATTAGAGCTCATTCAAAGTGAAAGACAAAATAAAATCAAAATCCCTGAACCCAACAGGTTTTGCCACTAAACGAGACTTCATCAGGTGTACAAAGTGTAATGTTGTGTCAAACAGAGCGCATGGCAAATTTTGGACAATTACAGTGGTCAGATCAATTTATAATTAGTCCTGGACACACACCAGGAAGGGAATAGAAACCCCATTTTTGTAGGTGTCAGATGCCCACATTTGATGATTTCTGCTTTTATCCTGTTACAGTGACAACTGTAAGATTTTGGATTTCCCATCACTTTTTGTTCCATCATCATAACAAATACAGTGAATCTCCCCAGCAGGGACACAGACAGAAATAAAAACTGACAGCTAAAGGCAGACTGTGGTTTAGTGGTTAGCAGCACCGGGGTCCAGGACCTGCATGGAGTTTGCATGTTCTCTCTGCTTACGTGGGTTTCCTCTGTGTACTCCCGTTTCCTCCTACACTCAAAATACACGTTAACTTGTTAAATTGGCCCTAGTGTGTGTGTGTCTGTATGAGACATAAGGGACCTTAGATTGTAAACAGGGGCGGACTGACAACTCATGGGGCCCCCGGGCAATAGGGGATCATGGGGCCCCTGTGTCCTTGCACAAACTCAAAAAAGGCTATGAAAAAGGTACCAGGGGCATCTCATGGGGCCTCCTACTGACCCCGGGCCCTCGGGCAGTGCCCGAGTTTCCAAATGGTCAGTCTGCCCCTGATTGTAAACCCCTTGACGGAAGGGCCTGATGTGAATCTACGAGACCGTGTACAGGTGAAACTCAAAAAATTAGAATATCGTGCAAAAGTTCAGCAGTCTTTCCCATGATTGTGATTCCTACTGAACCAGACTGAGAGACCATTTAAAGGCTCAGGAACCCTTTGCAGGTGTTATGGCTTAATTAGTTGATTAGAGTGGGACACTTTGAGCCGAGAATATTGCACCTTTTCACAATATTCTAATTTTCTGAGATTGTGGATTTGGGGTTTTCATGAGCTGTAAGCCATAATCATCACAATTATGACAAATCACGGCTTGAACTATCTTGCTTTGCATGTAATGAGTCTATCTCATATATTAGTTTGACCTTTTAAGTTGCATTACTGAAATAAATTAACTTTTGCACGATATTCTAATTTTTCGAGTTTCACCTGTATATATAAAGCACTGCATAAATTGTTATCACTATATAAATGCCTGTTGTAAGCGTTTTTGTTTTTCTGAGTCCCCCCAAAAAACATAGCTTTATTACCAGTTGATTTTGCCAGGAGATCAATGATATTCCACTTCCTTTAAAAGGTCCAAAAGGACTCAGAATCTGTTGATATAACGGCTTAACTAGTTGCAGACATTAGGCGGGCTACACACACCAAAACAAACTTCATCATTATACACAGGACCTGTCTAGCACGTCCATTCTCTCTACACTGCTTCTGGAAACCCCCCCCCCAATATGTACAGCAACTGTTGGCTTTAATTAATCAAGGCTGTCATTACAGTATACTCAGAGAAGGTGTGGGCAGCTGTAGCTGACAAAAAAGCGATCTTACAGTGTTTATAAATAAAACTTGTTCAGAAGTCAATATACAAAAATTAAACAGAAACAATGTTACGTTTGTATCATTTTGTTCATTCATCTGCAGTAACACTATTTATTTTTAAATTGACACATCTCAAAAAAAATCAAAAAGTGTGTTTTGTTGTGATTTGTTTTTTAAAGATTGCAAAAAAAAAAAAAAATCATTGTTGCAAGACAATATCAAGAAAAGAAAGCCTTATTTGTCCTTAACCACTTAAGCTCAGGAAAGTTTTACCCACTTCATGACCAGGCCACTTTTTCCTATTTAGCACTGCGCTACTTTGACTGGTAATAGTGCTGTCATGCAACGCAGTCACCAAACTAAATTTATATAATTTTCTTTCACACAAAGCTTTCTTTTGGTATTTGATCATCACTGGGTTTTTAACTTTTTCAATATAAACAAAAAAAGACTCACAAAAAAAAAAAGTTTACTTTCTGCTATAAAACACATTCAATGAAAATGTAAAAAAAATCAAATTCCTTCATAAAATGAGGCCAAAATGTATTATGCTACATGCTTTTGGTAAAAAAAAAAATCCCAATAAGTGAATATTGATTGATTTGCATGAAAGTTATAGTGTCTACAAACTATGGGATTTATATTGCAATTTTTATTTATGTTTGTTTTTAATACTACTAATAGTGGCAATCAGGGATTTATTATGGGACTGCGATTGTGCAGTGGGCAATCTGACACTAACTGACGCTGAGGGGAACTGACAAACTACCACTTACATCACCAGTAACATTAATATAGTGATCAGTGATAATACGATACGCTATCACTGTACTAATGGCACTGGCTGAGAATGAGTTAACATCTAGGTCGATCAAGGGGTTAAATGTGTGCCTAGCAATGTGTAATGTATGTATTATGTTCTGCTTTTACTGAGACATCTTTGTTTCTCATCCCTGCTTTGCAAGGATGAGAAACCGAGAGATAGTTCCCTCTGTACAGAGCCCTGTGTTGATTGTCAACACAGGGCTCTGGGCTGTGACTAGACACAGCCGGTCAGCAAGTCTTGCCATGTATCAGTGACCGAGACCTGCTGACAGACGCTGTGTACAACACAGCAGGTGTCGGCGAAGGGTTATGCATGCGCAGCTCACTGTACATTTCACAAATGATTGTGAATAGGCAGGTAAGAGGCAGCTTGGGAGGCTTTTTTGTCCATACAGGCTGGTCACAAAATTCTACAATCACTCATCCATCCATCCATGAGTGAGAGTTTGGAGGAAGTGAAGGAGGGATCACTATTGGTGGTTTGGGAGGCATGTGAATTCATGGAAATTGGTTTTGAAGCCACCTAATGTGAGTGCAAGGAAAGTCTTTTAAGAAAATTTTCTTTGACCCTCATATAGTATTACGCTCTATGTGGAATCACCCTGGAAGGAGATCCAGTAAGGAATCATTAAAGGGAGGAAAAACATCTGAGGCAACTACACTCCACCTATAAGTCTGTTTATGTCTCTCAAAGCTATATCAGCTTGAGAATCCACGCTGCCTGGTGAGTGTGGAGCAAATGATTTATCACTGATGGTGTGAGCACGCTGGAAAATTTATGAAGTTTGTTTTATAGATAAAAAATTTTTTTGTCACAAACGTTTGGGACACTGGACTTTAATTTGGGACTTTACTCTTTTTTTTTTCCATTTATTTTATTTTGGACTTATTTTAATTTTCTTATATCTTTTTATTTGCGCTGTGT